TAGGTGGTGCCTTTAGAGATAAGTAGTCGGCCTGCCCAGGGAGCTGACAAAGCAAACACGTGTGTGCATCATCCTCACTGCTAAAGCTAATGACACTATGTGCAGGGTGTGCTCAGAAATGTTACAGTGTGAGTAAATGTGCATGGACCAGCCCAGCTGGTGACACCACACCACAGCAGTCCCCTGCCCCACAGTGATGACCCACGGCCCATTCTGGAGCAGCAGCATGGATGGCGGGATGTCCCAGCTGTGGTAGGAAGGCTCTTCCTTCTCTGGACCCCTATTCCGGGAGAAGCCTTCCAGGGCAGGTGGTCGGCTCTGATGCAGCCAGGGCGGCCTGTGGGTTAGCACACGATGGTGGGGGCTGTGGGAGCCAGCAGCTGCCCAGCAAGGTCTGAAGCATGTGAGATTCCTGGGAAAGACGGGGAGATTTTGGTTATTCCCTTTGGATTTGAAGAACAGGTCATAGCTCTCACAGACAGGACGCAAAGGGAATTGAGTTATGGGCAAGTTTAGCCACGGAGCAGAAGTTCCTCGGGATCCCCTGGTGGGCAGAATACTCTCACACCACTTGTCTGCCCAGAGCACTCCGTGGGCCCTGCCACGTGGAATCTCAGGTCTGGAAGATACAGGGAAGAGCTGCTCCCGTGTGCCAGCGCCCACTGGCCATGCTGGCTGGCCAGTCTCCCTGGGACACCCCCCCCTTCCCGCCCCCGCTTCCCAGGATGGAGATGCAGGCCCTGGGCACTGGGTAGGCCTGGCTCCACTGGACCAGGGGCCCTCAGCCCTGGCTGCACATAAGGATCCATCAGGGAACTTTCCAATGGACCAGTACCCAAGTTCCACCCAGACCAGTTAACTCAGAGTGTCTGAGGGTGCAGCCCTGGCACAGGCATTTGTCTTAAAAGCCTATCGAAATCTAGGCGATCCCAGTATGCAGTCGGGATTGAGGACCACTACATGGACGGATAATGGTGTTTTTCTGGCGATTTTTTTCTTGGGGAAGAGCCAGGAGCTGTGAACCGCAGTGTTGCTTCTCCAGTGTTTTCTCCCATTACTTCATGGTATTGGGCTAACATGCCTCTCCTCTTTCCTTAGTTATCTATCATAAAATATGATTTGTATTCCTTTTGTCTTTGCTATTCTGTCTGTCGAGCTGATCTTTTCATGGTAGCCTTAGGTCTCCTTCCTTTTATCCTGCCTTTTATATATTTATTGATTTACATTCAATGTTGAATGAATTCCTGCTACGACAGGCAGTGTGCTAGCTGCTAGCAAGAACCAGAAGGCCAGGTCTGGTGGAGTGTGTGTCTCTACTGCGATTTGCCCCTTTGTTCTTTCTTTTCTCTCTTTTTTTTCTGTGATATTTGAAATTTGTTTTTAATGCTTTTTTTAATAGACATACATCACCGGTTCCTTCTTCATTGTCTGTTTTTCACTGGAAACAGCTTGGTTGGGCTGGAAGGTTGGGTGGGGCAAATAGTGTGAGTCAGGTTGATGGAGTCTCAGATATGGTACCTGCCTGCTGGTTCTATGTGTGTGTGTGTGGGGGGGGGGGGGGTGCGGGGAGGTGAGGAGGGATGAGGGAGGTCCTCAGAAAAGGAGCAATAAGTAGTCAGCCTGCCCAGGGAGCTGACAAAGCAAACACATGTGTGCATCATCCTCACTGCTAAAGCTAATGACACTATGTGCAGGGTGTGCTCAGAAATGTTACAGTATGAGTGCATGGATCAGCCCGGCTGATCTTCTGCCATCACTTCTGTCTGGGAGAAAGCTGCTCCCCCACCCCCAGATCTTGCCCTGACTCTGGACAGTTCAGTTCCTCCCCATATGTCTTTGGTGCCTTTCAAACTGCTGCCCTCGAGCTGGAACTCAGAACGAGTGAGTCCGAGTTGGTCTGTTCATGGGCCCTTTAAGAGGAACTGCTTGGGACTCCAGAAGCCTCTGTCTCCCTCAGCCTCAATCCCTGCTGGTTTTTACAGCCGGAAGTTATGGGGATTTCTCTTCCCGGCACTGGCACTCTGGGCTGGGGGGCCTGGGACCCCTCACTCCTCAGGGGGGACCTCCTCATCCCAGATATCCCTCCCGATTTTTATCTGCCACATGAGGGGATGGAACCAGCTATCCCTGTCTCCACCCCTTCTACAAGTCTCCATGTGGCTTCTTTAATTCCCTCGTTGTGGGCTTTCATTGCAGCTTGACTTCAGGCAGTTCTGAATGATGGCTGTTGTGTTGTTTAGTTGTAATTTTGATGTGGTTGTGTGTACAGAGTTTGATTTGTACACTCTTCCCCAGGCCCAGAGCTAACTGCAAGCATTGTTTATAGCCCCTAACACAAGGGAATTTGGTATAGCTGCATCTTTTAACCAGAGGGAAACAACCCTGTTTTCTTTCTCTCAAAGTCTAGGGATTTCTTTGTGGATCTAATCTACTCTTTGAGGTAGTGGTTTTCTTTCTTACTTTTTTTTTTTTTTACCATGATCAATATTAAGAAATATATATTGCATCACCACATGTAGCTGAAACAAAATTTCCCAAAACATTATTTACCCTTACCAAATGCAATGCCCTTGGATATTTTATATTCTGTTTAATTTTTTTTAAGTGGGCTGATCATTCACCAAATTAAATGTGTGGGATAATAATGGGTTGTATATAACCCCCAGTTTGAAAATACTCTTAAGGCCAGCTCCGCTTTAATCCACACGCTTGGTCTAGCACCCCCTTGTGGATTGTTGGACAACAGCACTCAGCCAAGGCACGGACTGCCATCCCTAAATGATTTGAATTTATGGGCCTGTGCTTTTCCCAACAGGAACATGCGCTGGTTGAGGCTAAAAACTGAAATGGAGCATCTTCCCTTTTCTAGGACATATCCTTTTAGGACATTTCAGTAGCAAAAATCAGAAAACAAAAATTTACAAAAAAAGTGATGGAGCTTGTCTCTGGCTTTTGACCAGTGCTTTTCCCCCTTGTTTTCACAGCTGCTAAGAGATCACATAATAAGTAGGTGCTAATTAAGCTAGCAGATGTAAAGAGCCCACTGCTGTGCCTCCTGGAGTGCCCAAGGAATGTTATTTCCCCACTGCCTCCCAGTTGAGGATTTCTTTTATTTATTTTTTATTTTAGAGAAAGGGAATGGTAGCGATAGAAACATCCATGAGAGAGAAACATTGATTGGCTGCCTCCTGCACGCCCCCTACGGGGGACCAAGCCTACAATCCAGGTATGTGCCCTGACCCAGAATCCAACCGGTGACCTCTTGATTCATGGGTCGACGCTTAACTGTTGAGCCACCCTGGCTGGGCCCAGTTGAGGATTTCTTGATGTATTGAGAAGATTCAAAGATTTCTAATATCTAAGAGGAAATTTCAAAATTCGCCCTAACCGGTTTGGCTCAGTGGATAGAGCGTCGGCCTGTGGACTCAAGGGTCCCAGGTTCGATTCCGGTCAAGGGCATGTACCTTGGTTGCGGGCACATCCCCAGTGGGGAGTGTGCAGGAGGCAGCTGATCGGTGTTTCTCTCTCATTGATGTTCTAACTCTCTATCCATCTCCCTTCCTCTCTGTAAAAAATCAATAAAATATATATTGATTCGAAAATGTTTCGAAGTCATTTTTCTAAATGTAAAGGAGATTAGGTCGGTGTGTGTGCCAGCCCAGTGGGGCCTGGCGATCATACAGAAAAGTAGGAAGAGACAGAAGCAAATGCATGGCTTGTGGAGCCAAGCTATTTCTGCCTATTTCCCACCCCACCTCCAACTGGCCAAAGCATGAATGGAGACCTGTGAATGCTCGTTCAGCCCCAAGCAGATTCAGGGATGTCCTCAGAGCTGCTGGGGGCATAGGGCTGGACTCCTGACATTTTTACTAGCAGGACAGTAGCTCTGGGTCTCTTGTGGAGCTTGCGGGCAGTTTAGTGAAGATAAGTGTCAGATGTTCAGGAGCACCCATGCCCCACTGGCCCCTGCAGACCTCGAGTTGGGGATATTTTCTTCTTCCTTCTCTGTGTCCTGCTCTCTGCCAGGCTCTAGGACCAGGTGATGGCCAGTGGGCTGGTTGTATCAGGTGTCCACACACTCCTGCTGTGTCCTGAGACCTCTGTGCTGCTCTGAAGCTGAGCCTTTGTTGGGGCTCAGTCAGTGGTCACCCACAAGCCACATGTTTCTGAGTAGATAAGAAAAGAAAACGACATCTTAATATCAGCAGTGAGGAACAAAGAGCCGCCCACTTAGTCTTCACTTTATATTCAAGATAACCAAGCTATCGCTGTGATTTTAAGCATAGGAGAAACATGTCGGCAGATCAAGATCTGAGGTTGGGTAATAGAAACCAGCTCCGGACTCCTAGCTAGATCTCAGGAGTCAGGCTCTGGGCCTGGCTGCCGTGAGGGTAGCCACGTGCATGGGTGATTTAAATATATTTGCTCATGTTAACCAAAGGCATTTGCTCCTTGATATCTGCAGGGGGGGAATTTAAAGCTCACCCTCAAGGGTATTTTGTCGCCCAGGTTTCACATTTCAGCCCTGCCTGTCCAGTTGAGACCCAGGCCAGCATTCCCACTGAGTTTGCCCACAGGAAACTGCTGATTCTGCCCGATGAGTTCCACGGCTCACCTCTGGCTTGTATCTCTCCATGGAACATGCAGGCAACAGATGTGTGGTGTGCACTTCAGGCCAACACTCCCGGCCACCCCATGCTTATGGGATGAGGGACAACAGAAACCAACCTCTCTGCATGGTGGAGACCAATGCCAACAGTGGCAATTTCTGGGCACCCATCATCCTGGGAGCCCAGGCCCATCTTTGACCCATCCGCCCTGAGAAATCTTCTGCCTAAATGTTAATATTTATCATTTACAGCCGCCACTGCCCCCTTTCAAAGGTGAACACAGTAAAATTTATGACAGGCGCACTATCAGACAACAGGCGCATAAAAGGAGTGACAGCCCATCTGCGGAAACAATTCACCCCTGACCCGAGACACCTGGAGGATTCCGGCATGGGGCCGCGGCCACACGCTCTCCTGCTGGGGCTGCTCCTGCTTCTGGGGCCAGGTAAGTCTGCGATGGGTGGGCCTGCCGGTGGCTCCGCGCTGCTGAGACATGGAGCTTCGGAGAGGAATGTGTCCTTTTCATTAGCACAAAATGCACAGTTTGGGGCCAAGCAGGCTGGAGTGCTGCGGTGAGGTGCCCAGGGCTCGGCCCAGAGGCTGTTGTGGAAAGAGCCACACTCAAGGGACCAAAGAGCCGCATGTGGCTCTCCAGCTGCAGTTTGCTGACCACTAGTGTAGGGTCACAAAGACCTGGGTTCTCGTTCTCTGTGCTGCGTGGCCTAGGACAAGTGTTCCCTCTCTGAACCTTGATTTTTTCTTTTTTTCTTCTCATCCGTAACATGGAAATGCCGCTGCTAATGATAAGCACATTTTGATGGTCCTATTTATGGCTTTCGTTTTGGCTGCAAGGACAGAGGAAGGCAGATTTCAGGCTGATGAATTCTAAAGGACTGCCCACATTCTTGAGTGCTGTTGGCCCTGATGGGAAGAGTGGGCTACCAGGCAGGGCTTGGGTTTCTCCCGACGCCAAGGGTTAGGAGAAGGTTGTGCCCCTGCCACAGTCCCTCTGTGCCCTTTGTCACCTGACCCCTGGCTCTCCCCTCCTCCCTTTGGTTAGAAAGACAGAATCCTTTAAACTGAGGAGGGCTTTAAAGGTGTCATGTCAGCCCTCCAGATGAGAGGCCTGGGCCCGGAGTGAAAGCACTTCCCTGGAGGCCACAGAGGAAAGGAGGAGGCAATGGACAGCAGCCCGGCCTCGCTGGGTGCAAGTGCCGGTCCTGCTGCTCACCTTGGACTAGTCAGACACCCTCTGAGTCTGGGGCTGTGTGTGCAAGGTGGGGAGGATTGAGGTGGGGGTGCAAGGTGGGGAGCATTGAAGTGGTGGTGCAAGGTGGGTAGGGTGTGAGGTAGGGGTGCAAGGTGGGTGGGGTGTGAGGTAGGGGTGCAAGGTGGGTGGGGTGTGAGGTGGGAGTGTCATGCCTGCTGTACTTATTGCACAGGTGATCGCATTCCCTAATTGCTAATGAGGCTGTAGTGCTTCTTTAAAAAAAAATGTTTGTTGACCATTTGAATTCTTCTTTCATAAAGTACCTGTTCAAGCGTGTCTCCCATTTTTGTAGGGGTTTGTCCTTTCTTCGTTGGTTTTTAGGAGTTTTTGTACATGCTGTGCACTTGCTCTTTGTTGTTGTAAGTACGGCAGATATCGTATACTCTGAAGTTCATCTTTCCACCCTCTTTAGGGAACTGTAGATGAGCAAATTCCTTAATTCGGGGCGGGGGTGGGGGGGGGAGTGAAAACCACCCAAATGAGAACAAATGGAGGCTATTTATTCAGAGGTGGCTATAGCAAGGGGTCCGCCACTGTCACGTGTGATGGGCAGACTCCAAGGCAGGCAGGGGCGTGGGAAAGCTTGACAGTGAGAAGGGGGAGGCTGCAGGGGTGCTCTGGTTGGAGGCTGGAGGCCTCTGAGGTGATCCCTTTGGGGAACATATCTGGCTTCCTCAGGTTGGTCCTGAGTAGGAAGCAGGGACAAAAGTAGGGAAACTGCAGTCATGGGCCAAGTCCCAACCGTCTAGGCCAGTGATGGCGAACCTTTTGAGCTCGGCGTGTCAGCATTTTGAAAAACCCTAACTTAACTCTGGTGCCGTGTCACATATAGAAATTTTTTGATATTTGCAACCATAGTAAAACAAAGATTTATATTTTTGATATTTATTTTATATATTTAAATGCCATTTAACAAAGAAAAATCAATCAAAAAAATGAGTTCGCGTGTCACCTCTGACACGCGTCATAGGTTCGCCATCACTGGCCTAGGCTGAGGGTAGTGGTTGGGCTTCTGGGCTAGGCTGCTGCAGATGTGTGGGCGCTCGGAGTTCCATTGTCAGCTGTGGTCTGGCCTTTGTTTGTATATTCAGTCTCTCTATTTCCAAAGTATTTCATCTTTTCCTTTATGGTTTGTGCTCTCTGCTTCTTATTGGAGAATCCTCTTCTGCCTTGCAATCATGAGGATATCCTGTATTTCCTTCTGAAAACGTTATGAATTGATTTTCTCTTTTGGGTCTTTAATGCATCTGAATTGACTTTTGTGATGTGTGGGAGAGACAACCCCAATTATATATCATATTTTGCATGCAGAGGCCTACTTGTCTCGGCACCATTTACTGAGCAGTTGTTTCCGCACAGCTCTAACAAGCCGCCTCTGCTCATATATAAAGGATTCCTATGTGCCTGCATCTGTTTCAAACTCTGTTTTGCTTTATTAGGTCATTGGTCTATCCCTGTGCCAACAGCACGTTGTCTTAATTCTATAGCTTTATAGTAAGTTTTATTATTCGGAAAAAACAAGTCTATTTTTCCTTTTTTATTTGTTTTGTTGTTGTTGTTGTTGTTAATCCTCATTCAAGGATATTTTTTCCATTGATTTTTGGAGAGAGTAAAAGGGAGAGGGAGAGGGAGAGAGAGCGAGAGAGAGAGAGACAGACAGACATTGATTGGTTGCCTCCTGAATGCACCCCTACCAAGGCCAGAGAACCTGCAACCAAGGTACGTGCCCTTGACCAGAATCGAACCTCGGACCCTTCAGTTCACGGTCTGACACTCTATCCACTGAGCAAAACTGGCGAGGGCTATTTTTCCTTCTTTTTAAGGAGTGACTTGGCCCTAAACTTTCATATAAATTTTACTATCAATGTGTCAATTTCCACCAAACAAAGGAAAAACCTGTTTGGATTTTGACAGAAATTGCTTTGAAATCTATGAACCAAGTTGGGGGAAATAGAGATCTTCACAATATTGAGTTTTCCAAACCATGAGCATGTACTTACATCTTTAATCCTCTCAAAGTTTTATCGTTTTCTCTGTTCAGGCCTCACATATGTGTCTCAGGCATATGACTTTTGTTGTATGGTAAACAGATTTTTAAATTTTTATTTTGAAAATGTTTGCTATTGGTGTCTAGAAATAAAATTGATTTTATATATTGATTTTGAACCCAATTAAACAAATTTTTAATGTTATCTGTATATTCTTTTGGATTTTCTATAGACACATCCTGCCAATAATGACAGGTTTTGTTGCTCTCTTTTTAATCTCTGTACCTTTTCTAGCTTTTGCCTTACTGTTCTGGTGGGTACCTCCATGACAATTTTTCACAAAAGTGGTGGTTGGAGGTATTCTTATCTTATTCCAAAGGTGTTTTTTTTTTTAAAAAAAGTGTTTAATGTTTTGTCAGAAAGTACGGTGTTCACTTCTGACTGTTCTATAGATAACTCTTTATGAAACCCAAATTAAAATAAAATTAAAATAAATAAAATAAAAATAAAACTCCTATTTTATTCCTAATTTTCTAACAGTTTTTAAAAAATCGTAAGAGGATGTTGAATTTTATTGAATATTTTTCTGCACTTATTAAGATGATTGTATGATTTATTTCTCTAATCTGCTACTGTGGTGAAATAAATTAGTTGACTTATCAGTCACTGATTATTAGATTCACCAAAGATCACACATTGCATTTACTTGTCCTGACTCTTTAATCTCTTTCAATCTAGAACATTTCGTTAGGCTTTTTGTAGGCTGGCTTTTGTCGTGTGCACTTCAATTTGGATTTGCCAAATAATTTCTTTATCGCTAGAATCAGATTAAACTCTAGGGCAGAAATGCAACACAGGTAATGTTGCCTCCTAGCTGTGTCACATTAGGGGATACACCTGACGTTGGTAAATACCCTAATTGGTGATGTTAAATTTCATCATTTGTTTATGATGGTGTCTGCCAGGTTTCTCCCTTGTACGGTGCCTTCCCCCGTGTGACTCACGTTATCTGCAGGGAGATGCTGTGATACCCTGTGACTGTTCTTATGCCCGATGGTATTTAGCATCCACTGATGATTCTTGCCTGGATTGATTATTACCGTGAGTGTAAATTGGTGACTTTAAAATGTCTATTACCTCTTCTAATATTGTTAGTTGGAATTCCTCCATAAAAAAAGAGATTCTCTTCTCTTCCCCACTCTTTGTATGTTTGATCATTTTAATATAAAATGGACATACAGATTCTTTTCTAAATCAGTGTGTTATAAGCCAGTCCTGCCATTATATATTTTGGTGCTCAAGTTATTACAGATTTGGCTGATGAGAGCTCCTATAAGTTGATTCCTGTGTCCCCAGCAGTTTTTTTTTTCTTTTGTTAATCCTCATCCGAGGATATTTTTTCCACTGATTTTTAGACAGAGTGGAAGGGAGGGGGAGAGACAAAGAGAGAGAAACATCGATGAAAGAGAGACACATTGATTGGGTTGGGGATGGAGCCTGCACCCTGCCCTTGACTGGAAACAAATTCGAGACCCTTCAGTCCATGGGCCAGTGCTCCAACCGCTGAGCCAAACCAGCTAGGGCCCCATCAATTTTTTAAGCACTTTTTTTTTTAACTTAATGGAACAGCTATTTCAAGCTAATCTTGTATTTTTTCTGTCTCAACCATGCAATTAGCCATTTCTTCAAGGTTACAATTGGTAGGGGATTTTGTTTAGAAACCAAGATCTGGGTGCTAGGGGTGTTCACTGCTGCTGGAATGTCATTATATCTCAGCCCTCTCAGTGGACAGAGCTAAGAAAAAATAGTTCATACAGTCATCTCTAATTTTAGTTAGAACTAGTCTTTTGTCTCCTTCCCCCATTCCATATTTGTTGGTGTAGCCAGTGTTATAAATATCAATAAATTTATTCACTTGCCAAATCCTAAGATATATACATCATAATTTAGAATTATTACAGCAGTAACACCACAACCACCAAATGAAGTTCTTTGTCTTAGACTACATATATCCCACTCACGGTGTCTAATCAAAACACGTTGTTCAAAATCACATGCATTAATTTTTTTGTTTTCTTTGTGTGGTTATGTGCTCTGTTTGACATATAGTCAAGTTTGTCTCTGTTTGTATTCAGTTATAAGGTTTCTCCTGCTCTTGTTGATTTTTACTTTATTTTTAAAAATATA